TTCATGCAAGTTATTGCTATAATAATTACAAAGACATAACATAATCATACGGATTTATATTAGCTTATTCCCATAATCGGAACGTAATGATGAGCATCTGTCTAAATATGTTTTGTATATGTCTCTATCGCTTCATCAGCATTCCACACCGCACGGTGGAAACAGAATTTGTCTCCATTTTTTTTCCATATGCAGATCTCTTTACCTGGTTCTGCCACCTTCTCACCTCGTTTGTGTAAGTTGAATGCTATGGTTGAGTACACCAAACCATCTTTACCAATTGTTCCCGTATCAGTTATAGTAAATCTTATATCGTCATATTCTACCATATACTGCGTAATCAGGCGTTTGATAGCTTCAATAAAAAAAACATTAATTTTTTTGTAAAACTTAAAATTGTTATTGTAGAATGCTGTTTACTCGATTTCAACTTGATGCCGATAGTTTGAAGTTGCATTTGTATTCTATCAATTGGGTAATTTTAAATCTGCACCTTATAGTTGAATAAGCTGTTTAGTAAAAAAATTAACATCACATAACTGTCATATCAGTAACATACTCAGGACAGAGCTTTAAATCTACCTGTTATATCCGTCCGTCCTTGCATTATTGCATCGGGGGTATAAAATTCAATTAGGTCTTCCCAAATACCAGTACGATACACATTAGAAAATTCGTCAAGTCTCTGCTGGAGCTCGGTTTTAACGTCAATGGTGGTCGACATGGCGGATGCCTGGTCTGCTTGACAATGTTAGGTACGTGGCACCTGATCACGTGAAACTTGTTGAAACTTGATGATTCGTCAATACGGCACTATTTTCTAGACCGTCATGCAGTTCAGTCGACCATCGGGCATTTCCTCTGAGAATACTTAGACTCTAGACAGGATAAACAAGCATATTTTACAGTTCACAGGAAGCATAGTGGTTGTGAATATCGCCTCTTCTGGCAAAAATGCGCTACGTGTCAGCGCTATCTCTTGCAATTGTAGCACGAAGGTCGAGGGAAGACAATATTGACATTCTGGATGTTTTTTTCAAGAATGCATGAGTGGCATAATTTTCAGTGGCGGCAGCACCGGGGGAAGGGGCGCGACCGTGAGCAGATCTCCCCTCCCCATGCACGAATTTCGTACCGCGGCCTCTGTTTTTATAGCGGCAGGATTCATAGATGATCACGACGATCGCATAAATTTGCAATGCAAAATGTAGTACCTCATGCAACATTGTTAATGTCGGTCAACAAGCGAGTAATTAAATAGCGGTAGCCAGCACGCAATAAGGGTTAGAATTTCGTGTTAACTAACAATGTAATTTGCAGGCGTCGTGAACATCTTTATGAGTCATATGACAGGACGAGGCGCGACGACCACCGTCCTTTAAGAGACTGATCATCATCTTTTAACCTAGGGGGTCAAAAAACACAAAAGAGGGCCAATGCTATTTCACTCAATACCAGTCGAAATTCCGTAGCTGAAAAGCTCACTGGCATATTTTCCCATCTTTGTCCTGCTATCTTTTGATGCAATCAGCCAAGCCCTGTTAAATAAGATCATTTTAAATAAAAAGAATTCAGTTGACAAAATGAATATTTCGTAGGACGCTATATAATACACGTTCAGTGCTCTGCTAAGGCTCAAACCTCTAGATCACTAAATGTTCAATTAATG